ACTACTGCTGGTTTCACTTTAACCCAAATATGCCTATATAAAAGACATAATCAACTGCAGGGAAATTCAAATAAGGATCAAATAGGAAAAGCTATGTCTACAAATCCTTGAATTGCTGAAGAGAGGGTTTCCCTTCCCCTTTCACTCTTTAGCATTCAACAACAACCAAAAGGAATCAAAGAAGTCAGTTCTTTAGAGCTGACAGTTTAAAACATAATCTATAAAGGTTATATATATTCAAATAAATTCAAAAGAACCTGCAGAACTGATAAAGGCCAGGCAATCTCTTTTAAGCCATTCTTCTAATTCTGTTTTTCTTATCTCCATACATTGTATTGCTTTCTGCCCATTGAGTCAATCTCAACTCAACTCTTGGATGCATCCTATTAATTATCTTGCCCAAAGTAATTCCCTTAGGTGTCCAAATGCAAAGTAATTCTTTGCAAGATAGAAATTGCTTCTTACAAACAAAAATAAGAAAAGCCACTGCAGTGATGTGATCAGATAGAACTTTCAGGCATAGTTTATTCCACAGTATAATTATTTGGTGTATAAATTACATGCTGCAAATAATAGTAACTTTGTTGCTCTTACGATGACCACGTATTCCTTTTATTTGGGACACACTGTCCACACACATTTAAAATACAACATATTTTATTTTGTCTTTTGAATAGTATGACATATTATTCTTTTTATTAGGCTTTGTAGACACCATACTGAAACACACAATTTTGTATGTATTTCTGGTTTCTTCTTTCTATAATTATATGCTTATTTATTTGAAATGAGTATGTGTTGAGGACTAACTTTTAAGTGACAATGTGTAGGGCTTACTAATAAGCATATATTTTATATCAACATGCTTGTTCTATCTTGTTTTTATCTAAAGGGTATTTTATTAACATCTTGTGCCAAAAACAACTTAGTACTAAATGTATCTGCATTATAAAATCATAGAATGTAAGGGCTGTAATAGATTTTGGAAATCATCTAGACAACCACAAAATGGCATTAAAGAGTGCTTTTGTATCTACCTAGTAAGTTGTTCAGAATATATATGATAGACTTATGCTAGCCATTATAAACATCACAATATAACGAATTGGCCTCATGAGAGTGTTGGAAAGAATTGTGCAAATTGGTGGAAGACCACAACTTGTCCCACAAAGGAAAGCAGGGTAGGCTGATATCAACCATACTTCTATTCAAGTTGCAGTCTAACCAAAAAAAAAATGTAAGTGATGGTGATAGTGGGCACTCCAATCCAGATGTTCTTTTTTTTTAATGTCATTGCTGGTAAAAAAGTTTTTCCAGGATTTAACCCTGAATGAAGATGATGAAATGTTATATATTCCAGAGATCTGGCTAAAAAGAGGACAGCTTTTTCAGTTTGATCTGCCAGGGTACTCTATGATCCAGCAGGCTAGTGTTGGAGAGTTGGGAAGTGGTGTGGCTCCATCTAATGGTCTGTCAAAACTCTATGAACATTTGTAGCTACATTTGGGTGGCAGAGACCCTTTCTTTGAGACACCTATAACACCTACTCTGCTCCCCAATTGTCTCTTCATGAGCAAGCTGGGATAATATGTGATGTCGCACTAGATTGTCTTTGATTTCTTTTTGGGTTTTTTTAATGCTCATGCTGAGGTTGCCAATCAGGAGTGACTCAGGATTTCACATCCTATGGGTCTGTCCTAATTACTATCTGGCACCATGCATATAGCATTCACAGTATGCTTCGTTTTTTACTACTAGATGTTCTTACTGAAGGCCTGAAAAGTGGTACTGCTCTCAGGCTAATTAACATTCTGTGGACCCTCATGGTGATTTGAATTTGAAATCAATGATCTACATGGAACCATTAGGGGAGATAATATGCAGCTTTGGAGGGGAATACAATCATTAAGCTGAATACCCCCAGCAATACTGCTTGCTACTATCTAATTCCAAGGAAGGGAATATTGTTTAACCTTCATATGGTTAGGTAAGGCAGAATACACTAAAATTAAATCCAGACGAAATAGGTGAAAGTCAGACTCTAGGACTGAGGTGGTATTTGTTCTGAATGTGTTTGCATTATCTCAGACAGATCAGGTTTACAATATGGGAGCTATCACTAGATTTCCAGGCATGTGGCAAGATGAACATTTGTACAATTAGAAATGATGTACCCAATATGTTCCTTCCAGAGTCAGTCTGACTTTCAACTCTTTGGTTATATTCATCTTAACTACTGTGGTGTACTTTAATGAGTCAATTTTTGAAAAGTGTTGGGAAATTACTGTTGGTGCAAAATGCAGCATCCATGCTGTTGACTGATACAAATAATTTGGATTGTATTATGTCTGTACAGTACAGTACTAAACATTTCCTTCCAGATATAATTTAATGTTTAGGCTTTAAAGTCCTAAATGGTTTAGGTTTAATTATCTGTTTGTCCAACTCTGAATGTGCCCAGTTACTTCTGCTGCAGGAGACAGCTTTCTGAAGATGTCCTTTCTGCCAGAAGCTTGATTATCAGATATGCAAAAATCAAACCTTCTCCCAAATTGCCCCCAGGCTATGGATACATTCCACCAAGAAATATTTGGCTCCTACTTTTCCAGGATTTAGGATTTTTCTTTCAGCAAGCTTTTGTCAATTATTCCAATGACTGGTTTAATTTCATTGTTGATTATATTAAGTTTGCAATCTTTTCTACTTTGTATGTTTTATTGTAAGCCACCTTCAGTGTTGGAACTGACAGAAAGTTGGGATATATACTCTATTAAAAAAATTAAGTACAATAGGCAGGCATGTAAATAACTTTCAGTGCTTGTTGTGTGAGATGAGCTTTAAATATAAGTATTGCTAAGATAACTAGCAGGATTTGTAGATCTCACTCACCAACTTGCTCAGACACTACAAATCTTACTACTGAAAGGAATTAACTAGCTTAAAACAATCATTATTATGTGAGACGGTAATAACACACAGCTAGTTCTAAAAGTATATCTTATTATCTCTGGTGCCAGTTGAGTGGGCATCTGTCTTGAAAATAAAATAATGTTCCATAAATCTGTTCCTATGTTTTGCTTATAGTTACCTGGGGGACCCAGTTATTAGAGAGCTTGGAATGAAGTTTCCTTAACAACAAATGAATACAAAGCGTTTTGCACAAGGAACAGTATTAGTCATACCTACAGATTATTGCTTTGATTTGTATCTTTGGGAAGGTTTGGGTCATCCTCTAGAAGAAAACTTACAAACTCTGTCACTTTTTGTTCTCTGTGTTTTAAAAACATCTTTTCATGTTTGGAAGTGCTAAGGGAGATGTGATTTATTTTTCCAGAAATTTTGCCTGGATTTTGGAAGCCACTGCAAAGTGAACTGAAACTCTTACCAGAAAAGTTTTATAAACTAATATAAGAACAGGCAACAGGAAGAAAACTTGCATAAACTACTTTCTGGTTGTTACCATGCTAGGCTGAAAACAGTGATTCATTGAACTATTATTAGTTTTCTGTCCTGATTTTCTTCTGCAGGCTTGGAGCATTTCATTAATACTAGTTTCCACTTTGTTACCTCATTGAAATGCAGGTATTTTAGCAATACTATGGCCTATGCAGTTTGTTTATTATTTTTATCTATAATACAAATTGACATTTTGCGGCGATATTTCTAATTCTTTTGTTTATTTAATGAGGGATAGGTAACACAGGATCCTTCTTATGTTGCTGAGCTTCAATTCCTATCAGTTTCTATAAGAGTAGCCATGGATGAAACATGAGATCAGCAAATCAGAAAACTACATTTTCTACACCTTTATCATGAAGACTACAATGGCAAAGAGTTTATAGTTATTCCTCTGTATATATTTATAATCATTAGATCTTGATAGAAAGGTCCACGCTCCCTAGAAACTGTTCTTATGGGATGGAGATAAATTGACACAAGCTCATATCTACAATGAGAAGAATAGATAGGTATGTGCATGACTGTGGCAGACATGTTAACTCTTGTGACAAATATTAATTGTGAGTGGGACCAGTTGATACATGGAAGGTTATATTAACATAAGTCTCTGGACACATTGGCAGTGAGGATGGGTAAACTAGTAATAGAAGTATATGTTGGGACAATAATAGATGGGCAGCTGGAGGGAAGTGTCAATAGGGACAGGCAGCTACATTGACCCGTCAGATGGCATAGATAATTTACCAACTACCTTGGTTAGTGACCAATTGCAAATACAATGATAATAAAAATAATCATCTGATTAATGTCATGTTTATGACCAAATTTCATGCACCTCACAGCAATGCAAGCTAGAGTGAAAATACTGCAGGAGTAACTGTATGAGAGAATTTTATCACACAGAGACAGCTGGAACCAGTAAAATTTGTGCTCACACTCTGTTAGTCACACATTCACTTAGTGACCATCTGATACTATATAGAAATATAGAGAAAATGTAACATTCTTGCCTGTTATTCATGTCTCTGTCTCTCTGTCTCTCCTTTTATCCCATTTTTCTAGTTAATATTTTTCTTTCTTTGCAATGTTTCATAAACAATAATCAAGCTTTTTTTTTTTTTTTGGCTATCTTACATGAATGGCCTGTGTGCTTGTTTTGAATTGGATATAGGGGATTGTGCTTGGTGCAAACTAAACTGAAAATTATCTAATTTTCCATTCCAAGGATATAAACTGGAACTATGATAGATGGAATAAGTATGGAAGTAATACTGCAATTGGTATACAATTAGATTTGATCAAGCATACCTCAAAATTTTGAGGGCAAAGAAATAATAATTCTATCCCACAACTGCATCAGCAAAGTTATATCTCACTGAGTTCCTACAGTTTATGAAATGACTATTGCGCCCAAGGGAGAATCTGAAGGGTGAGGCAACTACAACTTGCTGTAATGGTGGTTTTGCTCAATTTCTTGGCTGGCAAAGTTGCTTAATTCTAGTTAGACTTGCTTACAATATTTTTAACAGAATATGGCCTAGGGATGTCAGGAGACCTCCCTGTTGTAATTTGTTTGGATCAGTTCAGCTGTGGCCTTCTTTTCATCAAAATGTCAAAAGAACTTGGAGGTATGTTTGTATTTTTAGATCTGCTTCCATTCTGGTAGAGGATATTAGTTAAATGGAGGATAGAAACTTTCTAGATGAAAAACAAAGGTTCCTCTTTTATTAAAAGAGACAGTTATTAGGCTGCTTTGGTAAAAATTATATTTAGATAGTCATTATTTATCAGCTTTAGGCACATTCCAAACTTTCCTTTTGTAGGGAAAACAACTAATTGTGTATTAGCAGAGCAAATACACTATATCATTTCTCAAAATTAGCTGGACATACATGGCTTTGTTTTGGGACTAAGTTTTGTTGATCTTGACAAATGATACTTCTTTTGGAAGGAGTGTGTGTGAGAGACAGATGTAAATATGAGACAACGCATAATTATGATAACTCTCCTTGAACACCTGCTGAATCTAGTCCTTCAATGGGTCTGCTGAAGTTTATCAAAGACTATTAAATGGCAATGTTAGTTTGTTGCCTTTGGAAATAGCACTAGATATAATGTTCAATAATCCTTGGCTTTGTCTCTCTCTTATGACATCCATATGAAGCTACTAGGAGATTATCCAGTGTTTTATACGAATAAGCATTTAATTCTATATTCATAGATTAACCATCAGGGGGGAGCTCTCTTGATACTAAATGACTAAGTGGAGATTTAACAGGGTGTAATTTAATTTAATCCAATCCAAACCATATGGAAATAATCTCACAATACTGAATATAAGTCAAATAAGAGCTAAAGGATGTTCCCTGCTTTTTTATTTTTTATTTGTTCTAAATAAAATGTCTATGGAAAGCAGGAGCAGCTCTTACTGACCGATAAAATATTCCCTTTGAGGTGATAAGGAATTTGCAATGAGCTGTACTTTGTGTAATCTGTAATGAGAAATTGCAAGTGAAGACAAATTGGGAGTCTCATGTTGCATCTGAAAATGACTCAGAAGTTCCTGCAAGAAGCTTGCTGCTTTTTTAAATCTGTGGAGACAAAAATATATTATATCTATTTTGTAGGAATTGTATCATTTGGCTATAAGCTTATCTTTAATTACTGTTCTATTGTTTGTTCTTTATTCTCTTCTCAACATTTAGTATTTTACTTTTCATGCATGTTTTACAAATGCTAATATATTTCAAATGTTAAATATATTTGAAACCTAGAGCCTGACATTTTGTCATGTAAAGCTAATCACAAATTTCTGATTTGAAAGTTAAATATTGTTCCATATGATTATACTTTCCTAGATGAGTCCATAACAGCAAAGAACATATTTTGCCATAATTAAATGACATTTGAAATGAGCATCATGGTGATATTGAACTGAGGTATTTTTGAGGATTTCAGATACAATACAACATCCCCTTTCACAAAATTAAAGAATGAATATAGTAGTTTAACAGACTTACTCCTAAGCATAGATTTCTTTGTAATGACTATTATTTATAACATGCATTTTCAACTGAGTCAGGTGGCTATTAGTAATTATTGTTATTTGATAAAAGCTATCTCAGGCCTTAGAGTTACACTAGAATATTTCTCAGTAGATTTGGTTTTCTTCTCCCTTGAAAAATATTTCTGGAAGTAAATTTTTGTCTTACAAGTAGAAAAAAAGTGCTACTATTAAGAATTTTCTCTGAACATTCTACACTGTTTTGGTCATGAATCAAAGAGGCCATCTCTGTCAAAACTGAACAGTCCTCTCTTTACAGAGGGGGAAGGTTCCGACATCATCTCTCTCCAATCTACAACCACAGTCCTTTCAACAGTTCCAAGAAGGCTCCACATTCAATCACACTACTTAGGTGACCCTGACGACACAGATACCTCTAGGTGGCCTCAATAACACTCTAAAACAACAGTCACCAACTGGTGGTCCATGGACCATTGGTGGTCTGTGAGAAAATTTTGGTGGTCCGCAGAAAAATTATTTGCATTTTTTATACTGCACTAAATCAGAGGTCCTCAAACTACGGCCCCTGGGCTGGATACGTGCAATGAATGTTTGTGTTGCTTCAAAGAGTCTCTCCCTTCGGGGTCTTTTTGTGCAGGTTGGAGAAGAGGAAGAAATTCTGACTTGGGTCTGCTTTGGCCACGTGGTACGGGGCTTTGGGAGAAGGCTGGAGGGAAGTGCCTCTGATGGTGAAGAGCCGGAGGATCTTGTTCCAGTGGGACTGCATCATGGCCTGGAACTGGCTGACCATTTCAGCCTGCTAAGCCTCCAGGCACCTGTACCTGGTCTTGCACTCCCACAGGTCTTCCCTCTGCTAGGAAAGCCTATGCTGATAGTCCTCAGTGAGGTGCTTCTACTGAGCCTCCTTCTTGGTCAGATCCAATTTGAACTGAGCAGCTGTTTTGCCAACTCTTTCTCGTGGTGGCTGCTTAGCTCCAACAACTGCTTTCTGTTGGGGCCCTAAGGAGCCCGGGTGGGCAGACGAGGAATGGCTGGGAGGGGAGGGGTGAGTAGACGCTAGCGAGGTGCCCCTTGACATGAGTGACATTGAGTTGGCCATGCCCACGCAGTCACATGCCCACCTACCCACACCCACCCAGCTGGTCATTAGACAGATCACATTAGTGATCCACAGGATTTAAAATTATGAATTTTAAATCCCTGAGATCTGAAAGGTTGGTGATCCCTGCTCTAAAAGAAGGCAAATGAGTAGCTATCTGCAAGGAGTATAAATCTTTCCTTTCCCCACCATCCAGTCAGAGCCGAAGAAGCTTCCTGGATGAGAAGTGAAATGTTTTCAAAGAAAAAAAAAACCAGAAAGTCTAGTTGCCTCTTGAAAAAGCACCTTTGGGATGAGTCTCTCCATTGTTCAGGAAATAAACTGTATGGAACATTGTGGAAGATGCAAATCTATAGGGTTAGCAAATTCTCCTTTCCCTTGTGTCTTCCTGCTATTGCAAGTAGCAGCAAGAAAAACAGACTATTTTTCTGCCCCTGGGTAATTGCAAATCTTCTCTTCCATTTCTCTACACTAAAGTAGGGTCAAAAATTTCAAAATGACTTTTGTATTGTGCTCTCAGCAAGATAAATTTCCCTGAAAATTACAGTTACTGAAGTGAGAAAGGTTGTGATGGTTCTATTGTCATATATTAGCTGCTGTGACATTTGGACTACTTTCAAAACCTTCTCCATGGTAAAAGTAGACTCACTCAGTGTTGGGAATAAAAGTTAACAACTGAGATCCCACAGATCTGAAATGCATGTAGATGAAAGCTTGTCAATGTTATACTTCAGTTTATATTTTCTTATTTTATATAGGGAATAGTCTGATGTAGCATATCCACAGTTACATCTAATTGCTATCCAAAATAATTCATGTCCTTGTGATTATTTTTCAGATTTTGCATGGCATGTAATAAAATATCAATATTTACTAGCATAATCTTCAATAATTTAGGCCAAACACTATTTTCTCCAAAAGGCTTGCCTTTGAATAATTTAGTTGAACAGTTTCATATTTCTAAATCAGCCATCTTGGTTGAGCACAGCATATTATAGATCAAAAAGACTATCAAAATATTGACCCGAATAATTGTGACAGTAGCAAAAATTAGGTCTGTCCAATTGTTTCAGCCTGAGATAATTCAGTGGAATGATCCTAGGAATGAGCCTTGAGTTTGAAGCTTTTCAAACTCAGGCCTTTTTTCATGCTCTCTTCTAATGTTTAAGCCTTGGGCAGTTGCAAAAACTATGAACCATTTTTGGGACTTAACAGTTTTATATCTTAAGTTTGATCTTATCTGTCATATTTACAACATATTTAGTACAGCACCAATGAACATTTACAAATATTCTTTTTCCCTTCCCTGATTTGCATTGCCCAGCCCTGTAGGCTTAGGAGGAGTAAGGAGCAAGCCCTTACTCATACACTTTGCTTTGACTTTGATAGTTGGACACAACTAGACAAAAAGGATTATTCACACAACTAGGAGTGTATATAAGTGGGTCTTGACTTGTTCTGAAGATTTGGCTTCAATTCTGAAACATTCATAATTTAATAGTTTCCCACTAGCATAGTTTAAGTCCATTTGAAGATTTTTTTTTTCTCCCAGAGAAAGAAAAACCTGTAGGGCAACAAGGACAAACATCAAAAGAAAAAAGAAATACATTTTAATTACAATTATTGTTTAGGTGATTATTAATTGACTTACCAAAAGGATCTAGAATCTTTTCAGTTACAACTCTTCTCAAAATGGAACTCATAAAAATATATTTTTTCATATTCTATAATCGAGCTTATAACAAAAACAACAACAACCAGAGGGTTGATTGCTTGCCATTTCCTTTTGATTTATCTACATGAATGGAGGAATAGTAAAACAATACTATGATAGAGGCAGCGGATTATTTATGTTGCAATTTCACTTAAAAAATTATGGTCATTGCTTCCTATCAGCACTATTAAACAAAAATCAATATTATAATTATAACAATTGAATACAATAAAAAAAATACTGGTTTTCCTGATGGCCAGGCAAACAACAAAAATAGTGACATAAAGTGTTGGATTCATTTATTAATATTTCTATTGGCCAGCTCAATTGACAGATTGTACAGAATAGCTGATTCAGGAGCAAAAAGCAACTAGTTGTAATAAAAAATTAGCATCCTTTTTCTACTCAGACAAAAATTCCTTCATTGGAAATATTATAAATTATCAGAAAGAAATAATCTACAAATTTGCATATGATTAATTAAAACTTGCTCTGTTCTTCTTGGAGATGCGTAGATAACTGTGCCAAACTGAAGCTTACATAACCGATAGGGAGGACATATAAGAGCCGTGGTTAGAGTACAGTACTGCAGGGCAAGGGTGGGCTTCAAAAATTTTAGCAAGGGGTTCTCTGCCCGGTTGATGGGTGGGCGTGCCCATGGTGGGCATGGCCTAGTTGGCCTTCTGCACCACAGCAGGAGGTTTGCCCTTCCTGGGCTCCAGAGGCTTTCCTTCTGGAGACCCTCTGGAGGCCTGTTTCCAGCCTTTTCAAACTTCAGGTAGGCCGGTTT